TAGTGAAAACACATTTTAGACATGCGCAGAACAATTCACTTTCCCTAAATTGGCCCTTTGTCTCAACATTCCATGCTTATCTAGCTTTTAGCCTTGAGCTATGAAGAAAGGAAGCAAGGAGAAGGGGGGTCCAGCCTGTTTTTACAAGGCTGGCTAATCTCTTCTGAATACACACACACACACCAAACAACTTGTTTTTAAGAACAATCTTTTATGAGGCAATTGCCTTAATTGAATAAGTCAAACTTTTACTTCTATCACTACTGTTTTCCTGGTTCTGCTGCCAGGACCTGAAGCTGCAGTTTTCTGCCTTAGAACATTTTCTTTCCAATTTTGTGGCTCCCCAAAGCTGCCTTAAGGTGAATTGAGTCTCTAGGCATCCCCAAAATCTGCAGGGCAGGCTCTAGAAAATTTTTATTGCCCCCAAATGGGGATGCAGGATTGCGGCTCATGACATAACTCTTGTTGTGTGGTGTAGCTCTACCAACAGGATTTCAGTCATAGTGTTTTAAAATCAACGTTTAAACATCGCTCAGTTGTGCATGCATTGCCTCCTATTTTTGGTTAATTTTTGAGGGTGCATGTGTTTCTGTTCCGTGATAAGAGAATAGCATGAAGAATTCATTATTAAAATACCTCTTAAAATTTCCAAAATACCATTATAAGTAACTAGAAATTAACTTTTAAAGTAATCTGAAATCATTACTTATTACACCAAATAACTTCAGTCACCTTATACTACTTTTGAAATATAGTATCATTATGCTGTTGTCAAAATGGAATCTGTATTACTTGTAACTTCAGATTTAGTATTATTGAGGGGGGTGCCATTAGCTATAGCTATTATGATAAGATGTAATAGGGAAGTGTTATGAAATGCCATTAGACAAGATTGGAAAAAGGAGGGGGTGTTTCTGGATATATAACTGAGGAGGTTGCATCTAACTTGCTTCATAAGGTGATGATGGGTTGGAAATGTGCAAGAAATGTGCAGGCAGATACTTGTCGAAATTGAGGGATGGCAGGATTCTTTATTCATATATGCAATGTGAATGTGACTTCATTGATACATTTTCTGGCCTAAACTGTTCCTATATATAAAAGGTAACCTTCACTGAGAATCAGTGCAAAAACACAGCAGCTGGGATTGCATGTAAATATCATTCTAAGGCAAACTAGAATAATACAGATCATGTTTTGATGAGCAGCAGAAAATATGGAGAGTGGTTTTACAACTTAAAATATGGAGAGTGGTTTTAC